CATAGCGATGAACTCTTACACAGGCAGGATCCCTGACAGTGTGGGGAACTTGTCGAGCAAATTGGATTCTTTTGTGGCGCATAGCAACCAAATCACAGGTGGCTTGCCACCTACCATGGCAAATTTAAGCAACCTCATCGCGATATATCTCTACGCAAACCAACTAACTGAAACGATCCCCACACACATGATGCAAATGAAGAATCTCCAAATGCTCAACCTCCATGATAACCTCATGACAGGATCTATCCCAACAGAAGTTGGCATGCTAAGCAGTTTGGTAGAGTTGTACTTAGGTGGTAACAAATTTGTTGCATCCATCCCTGGTGGAATAGGCAATCTCAGCAATCTCCGGAGCTTATCTCTACCCCGAAACAACCTATCTTCTTCCATCCCTATAAGCTTGTACAGCTTGACTTGTCTCATAACTCCATAAGTGGAGCATTGGCAACTGATATTGGGAGCATGCAAGCAATTGTCCAAATTGATCTTTCAACGAACCAAATATCAGGAAGCATTCCTACCTCACTAGGACAACTTGAGATGCTGACATCCTTGAATCTTTCTCATAACCTATTGCAAGACAAAATACCATATACAATTGGTAAGTTAACTAGCTTAGTGACGTTAGATTTGTCTGACAATTCTCTTGTGGGAACCATTCCAGAGTCTTTAGCCAATGTCACTTACCTCACTAGCCTGAACCTTTCTTTCAACAAGCTAGAAGGTCAGATACCGGAAAGAGGTGTCTTCTCAAACATCACTCTTGAATCCTTGGTAGGAAACAGAGCTCTTTGTGGTTTGCCACGCCTAGGATTTTCAGCATGTGCAAGCAATTCTCGTTCTGGCAAACTACAAATCCTGAAATATGTTCTTCCCAGCATTGTAACATTCATTATTGTTGCTTCTGTTTTCTTGTATCTAATGCTCAAAGGAAAATTTAAGACAAGAAAAGAGTTACCTGCCCCTTCAAGTGTTATCGGTGGAATTAATAACCACATATTGGTTTCCTACCATGAAATTGTTCGTGCTACTCACAACTTCAGTGAAGGCAATCTACTTGGTATCGGGAACTTTGGAAAGGTTTTCAAGGGCCAGCTAAGCAACGGTTTGATTGTTGCAATAAAAGTTCTTAAAGTGCAATCAGAGAGAGCCACCAGAAGCTTCGATGTCGAGTGCGATGCATTGCGCATGGCGCGACACAGAAACTTGGTGAAGATACTTAGCACCTGCTCCAATCTGGACTTCAGAGCACTGGTCCTTCAATACATGCCAAATGGTAGCTTGGAGATGCTTCTACATTCGGAAGGTAGGTCATTCTTAGGATTCCGGGAGAGGTTAAACATAATGCTAGATGTGTCAATGGCATTGGAATATCTACACCATCGTCATGTTGATGTTGTCTTGCATTGCGACTTGAAACCAAGCAATGTGTTGCTCGATGAGGAGCTCACTGCTCATCTCGCGGATTTTGGCATCGCAAAATTGTTGCTAGGAGATGACACCTCCGTTATCTCTGCTAGTATGCCCGGGACAATCGGCTACATGGCTCCAGGTATAAATAAGCATATCTCTTCTTGCAGCAGTCATTTGATTCTTCATGAACTAATTTATATTTCTCATAATATTTATCTTTTATTTGTTAAAGAGTACGGATTGATAGGAAAAGCATCACGGATGAGCGATGTGTTCAGCTATGGTATCTTGTTACTTGAAGTTTTAACTGCGAAAAGGCCTACAGATCCCATGTTTGATGGAGAGCTAAGCCTCAGGCAATGGGTTTTTGATGCATTTCCGGCTCGGCTTGTTGATGTTGTTGACCACAAGCTGCTACAAGATGAGAAAACAAATGGGATCGGCGACATTGGAACAGCCTTGGACGTCTCCTCGAACATGTTGGACAGATGCATTGTGTCAATAGTTGAGCTGGGATTGCTATGCTCCAGTGACTTGCCTGAAAAAAGAGTATCAATTATTGAGGTGGTCAAGAAGTTGCACAAGGTCAAGACGGATTATGAATCCAACCTAACAGTTCAGGGCACTCAGCAAACTTAGTGCATGACTACTCTAGTCCGTAACTACAAAGTATTTCAAGAACATCAAGGATATATTTTTCTTACTGTTTCCACACTTTGTATTTTTCTTCTTGGTTTTTTTGCGCATAATTAATCATGTAGAGTATGGGCTAAATGTAATCTTTGTGTTTTATTTATATGACCAAGGAAACAAAATAATCAATTTCATAAACGAGAATAGTACTGATGATAATCCAGTGCTCTTGCATTGCGCTTTGTGAAATCATGTGATGATTTAATCGTGGTGATGAACAATTGTCAAAGGTAATTGTTCGTGAAAATGCGGTGCTCGTGGTGATTGTCGACGTTTGACGTCGTAATTCTAGTATTTGCATAGTATGGGGATCGTCGGTGCTAGGATATATGCGAGACTGAGGTAAAAGAGATGGGGACGAGGATTTTTATACAGGTTCGGGCCCCTGAGCTATCAGGTAATAGCCCTACATCCTGTTGGCCGGAGCCGATGTTGCTTTTTATTCACCATACTCACACCAGTACAATATGTGGGGTAGCTTATCTAACTGTTGTCGACATGGCGGTCTGAAGGTCTGACTCGTAGTCGACAACAGGGTAGCCTTCCTCCTCGAGCTCACGCCCGACGGAATCAGAGACAGTGCTAGATCCCTACGGCCGGCCTCTGAAGGTACCAGATAGGGTCGATCCAGGCGTATCTCTGATGTCGATATCCGGCAGCTTGTCTTGGCGTATTTAGGCTTCTATGTTGATTGTGTTGGGAGTTGATTGTCTCGTGGTGGGTGTCCCCCTGTCCTCCTAGGGGGCTTGTATTTATACCCATAGGTGTCCCCTTGTCCAAGTAGAACTAGGGAAACCAATATGGATGCAATCCGAGTAGTACTTGTCGTTTCCATGTAGAACTCTGGTTGTCTTTACTTATCCGGAACTCCCTCGATGTCAATTTCCGTATAAGACATGGCATGTGGTGGATCCTGCCGAGATTTAGTCAACTACTATTAGGTATGTGGTATCCATAACCCTGACAGTGATGAAGAATTGTCAAAGGTAAGTGTTTGTGAAAATGCGGTGATGTGTTTCGGACGGTGAACAATGCGGTGGTCGGCACTGGGTTGCCGGTCTGACTGAGCGGGTGCCACCTGTCAGCCCGGAGGTGTCCGAGCGGTCTGACCAGGCTGCCCGACGGTCAAACCGGCAGAATCTAGGTGGGAGTCGCTTCCAGGTTATTTTCGTGGAATTTCTAGATTGCTTCATGATATGGCTTCTAGATAGTTTCTATTCGTATGAGATACTATTGTGTGCTGATGTGAGTCAAGTTGGTGCGAACTTATACTCGGATATAGAGTTTCTTTGTTGTTCATGTGCAGGCGTTGCTTGAGACCATGGGAGTATAGTCGGTGATGGATCGGAACTAGGCTTGGGAGAAGTTAAGGTCTAGACAGTCAAAGATATCACGCATGATGCTCAGGCTAGAGAACAATGCTTGGGACAAGTTAAGGTCTAGACAGTCAAAGATATCACGCAGGATGCTCAGGCTAGAGAACAATGCACTTGGAGGTGAAGGTTTCCATATGGCATATACGTACATGGTGTTATGGTCATATGGAAAGATGAGTCAAATTTGGATTGGAGTCTAAGTTTGGAAAGATTGGAGTTTGCAAAGTTTGTTTCTTGTACGGAAAGGTTTCATAGGGGATTAGGACTTTTTGTGTGAGTTGGATTCGTGGCTAGGGGCAATCATGTTATGGGTATAAATAGATGAGGATATCGATTTTTGAAAGAGAAAAGTTAGGGTTTGTTTCAAGGTTTCAATCCTAGTTCGAGAGTTGAAAGAGGAGTGCTTTAGATGCACTTCGTAAACACATATAGATGTAACAAAGTTAATCTACTTTCAAGAGAGTTTCGTCGATACATGTTTTTCTGGATCCCGACGGTTTGACCGAAGTTTATCGAGCGGTCTAACCGGCGAGACATTGGCGGTCTAACTGGCGATGTGGCGGCGGTCAGACCAGCGGCGGCGAGCAGCAGCAGGCGAGGAAGCGGCGGTCCGACCGGTTGGACAACACCAGTCAGATCGGTGTGACATGGCGATTAGACCGACTACGTCGAGATCTTCATCAACTTTGAAAGTAACTTTTAATTCGGCAGAAAGTTTTGGGCTTTTGGCTTTCCATACCATTCACCCCCCCCCACACACACACACCCACCCACCCACCCACACACAGAGACACCCCCGGTAGGTTTGTTTAGTCTTGTTTTATCCTACATCCTTCACAGTTTCGTTGGCCATAAGCTGTTTTGTTACCCGAGGCACCTAGAATTTAGCCAAATTGACCTGGACTCAAAAACTTAATCAGATACTATTTCATTGTTGTCACTAACATATCATCCATTCTTGGCCCTGCTAGGTACCTTTATTTTTGCCACATCAGAACACATAGAAAAGCAGATTAGCTAGCTAAAGAAAGAACCAATGCACGATATATGACAGATCACTGCAAAGCAATTTTTCTGCAAAAGGCCGGAGGAGAAGAGAAGAAAAGCTATACACAGCACATAGAGCATTACAGCTACATCTCATCCTTCTGACCCTTTTGCTTTACTCACCAGATCACCCCCTCGTGCTGAAACATTATCTTCTTCTTCAGTGATCATCTGCACTTGTAACTACAACAGGAACCCCCCTCTAGCAACGGATTTATGTATTGCTACAAGTCCATATAAGCGCTGCAAAGATCTATAGTAACGCATTTAGTATGTGTTGCCTATGCTGGCGTTGCTAGGGTCTATACATTGTTGTTCGCTAGCAATATATACATAAGCGTTGTAAATATCCGTTGCAAGTTAGCAACAGGGTGCCAACAATACCAGAAGATTTATATGCACTGCTATTTTCAATTGCTAGTGATCATTACTCACATGCCAATTTTCAATTAATAATTCATTGCAATATGATGTACAACTGATTCCATTTAAAAATAATAATTCATATATTATAAGTACAAATCTCAATATTCATTACAAAGATCTCAGAGAGATACAATTTGTCAATACACCACAACATAATACTGACTAGTCTAGCCTTACAATAAAAATATTATATATCATTTTCCACAAACTTTGCTTTGACTAGTCTAGCCTTACAATAAAAATATTATATATCATTTTCCACAAACTTTGCTTCAGTATTCCCATGCTATAGGCAAATGTCCAAAATATGATATCTTCCTTGTCTATTTAGGCCTGAAAGATCAACACTTACTTGTAAGTATCAAAGAGTGGAGGAGATAACAGAAACCACTGATAGTAGTAAACAAAATGAAAGCTATTTGATTACCTTTTAGTTTGAAGCATCTTCAGGATTATGTATTGTATGTCTTTTGCTGAAGAAAAATGGCACATTGAAAATCTTAGCACTTATGTACTTTATTTGGGAACTAACAAGAAGCAGGAACATTAGTTTTATACTAGATTAGAAATTAACACCTTCATCGCTTCATTAAATAGTTTTTGGAATAAGGTTTAGTTATGAGGATAGTAGGATAAGTTGCATGATTTCTTTCTTTCTGGTACTGAAGATAAATTTTAACCAATAGTGCCGCTAGTCTTATATGATTTTTGACTGTACATGCTCTTCCGTAGCATACCAAGTTATAGTTGATCTAATCAAATGAAATTGACGAGCTTACATTTATCACTGATGCAGTATTGTGATACGAGTATATATATGACATCACTTTTAAATGCTACAAGTCTAGGACACCAAACGGGAAAGAGTTTAAGACGGCTGACTGTTTACAGGTTGCAGGCTTTCTGGAGGTATCTCTGTAATTCTCTATGTTGTTGTCCCCTGCAAAAAGGGTTGGCAGATCAAAACAATTAATTGATTAAGTTAATACAGCTATCACATATATCAGAATTAACATAGATGTATAAAATCTGTGAAGTATGTATATATGATATTGGTTCTTGAATTAATATTACTAGAACGAAGTTTCAGTTTCAGGAATTATTACCATAGGACACAACCCCATTGTTTATGAGCTCCGTGCTCTCCTGCAGTCAGAACATGGCTATTTATGCAGTCAGAACATGGCTATTTAGGTGTAAGTAACATAGGAAAAATTGTTGTTAGAGCTCAGAAGACCAGGGTATAGGTTTACAATATCAATCTTATAAGCCTTACATGTTATTTACAATATCAATCTTATGGAAAAAAGAAGATGAGCAATTCCTTCAATACATCTGACTGTATGTATTAATCAGCAAGATGAAAATACTGCTTCATTTTTTACATGCATATGTATCTTTATTTGTGGCTTGATCATACCCATATATCTAAGATTATTAGAGGAAGTTGTAGACTTCTCCGTGGAACAAAAATTAGCAACCTAATTACTATTGGTTGAGTGCTGCAGGAAGGGTTTGTAAATCATATGCGCCATGGACACAACAAAAAAAAGAAACAAATGCAGTAGATCTGCAGAGGAACAGAGCAGCTCAGAGCAACAGAGAATTCAGGAGCAGAGAGCAAACCTTGATCTACACGGTATTTATCCTTCTCGCACAGCTGCCGTCGTTCCGGCCAGAATGGATGGCCCCCATCTGTGCGCCGTCACTCGCCTGTCGCTGCACCCTGTCAACTCCTCCCATGCCGCCGTGCCTAGCGCCCTACCCGTGCATCCCATTCCCACGACACCATGCCTTGAGACCATGCCATTCCCGGAGGTTGACGACGGCGATTCGGCGAGTCGGCTTGCACCCACCGCGCCGTGAGAGATTGGAGGGGATGGGGGATTCGGCGATACCTTTCTGGATCCGCAGCAGGGAGTTAGGGTTGGCCAGTTTGGTAGGCTTAGTGGGCCGAGCAATTGGGGAGCTCATACGGTCGTTGCGTTGCTGGATTGACTCAGTTCCTGGTAGTTGTGGACCCAGCAACGCATGAGAGATCCGTTGCAACCCATGCGTTGGTGGAGGGGGGTTCGTGTTGTAGAAAGGCCAGCTATATCAATCAAAATTCAGTGAGCACATATATATATTTACAAAGGCACGAGCACTTGCACTGCATGTGTTCATAAGGCATATCTAGCAAGCACATCTGTAGGAGTATATATATTATATTTGGCTATGGCGGTGGACTGGGGTCCGGTGGTGGTGGCGGTGATACTGTTCATCCTGCTGTCGCCGGGGCTTCTGTTCCAGGTGCCGGCGAGGACGAGGGTGGTGGAGTTCGGCAACATGTGCACCAGCGGCGTCTCCGTCCTCGTCCACGCCGTCTTCTTCTTCGTCCTCTTCACCGTCCTCGTCGTCGCCATTGGCATCCACGTCCGTGCCGGCTAGCCGTAGCTCCGATCGATCTGACGCATGTACGTACGTACGTGCGTTTACCTCACCTGCATGTACTCTAATAAGCCTGTTGCCACTGAAAGTAATAGGAGAACTGGAGGAGGTGTCATATGCACATAGCACCTATATCATATTGTAATCGTACGTTTAATCGATCCGTACAGTACATTTCATCTTTATTGCAAGCTACTAGCTTTCTGCAGATTAATATATGGATATATGCTTCCTTTTCATTGAGGCGCCCGGACGACACCATTTACAGGCTGTGTGATTCTACAGGAGGGTCTATATATAGTTGATCAAGGTTACATGCTAGAGTATCTCCAGTTCATATATATATATATATATATACACACACTAGAAAAATGCCCGTGCGATGCAACGGGTACACATTCTTTTTCAGCCCTAGCCTAGTCCGCTATCTCTCTGCGCTCGACCTGCCTCTCTTCGGTTCAGCTCACACAACCAATTGTCATCCTCAACCTTCAAAAAATAGTCTCGTGACCATACGATGCTAGAACAAATAAAAAGGTAAAAGCGGAGCATAGAAAAGGCATAAAAGTAAAAACAAACAATGTAGCATCGCCTTGGCTAGGTGCTCATACCACTTCGCTGAGCCGCTCACATTACGTCATTACTCACCTCTCATGGCTCACCAGCGCCAGGTGGTTGGATATGGCAGCTATAAAACATTATATCCACTGGTCCAATGGCCTGATGACTACAAACAAAGAAGAGGATTTGGAGCCAACCTTGATAAATAGGGAGGATTGGGACTATACTCGGAGAAGAGCCAATTTCTACAAGATCTAAGATATTGGGAGAAAAGATTTATATTAAATTATGAGAAAATATAAATATAAATATAAAAAGAGTAGAGAAGAATTTTATTTTTAAATCACCAAGAGAATATAACTTCACGTCATATCATATGCATAAGCTATGTGGTGGCTAAGGGCAGCAGACCCATTTGGCTCAGGTAGAGACCGGCTAAGGAGCAGTTACAGACTTGCAGTTAGGGGCTGTGGGCAGATGGCCCAGCCGGTCCAGAGAGGAGATCAGCAGTGACGCTGGGCAGAGCGAGACGCACAAAGCTGGGCCCATATCTAAGCTAGCGCGTACGTGTGCGAGGAAAATCGGATAGGGATGATTTTTTGCGCAAAGGAAAATATCGGAGACGAACGGTTAATCTCGGACAAAACTTACGGACGAAATTTTTTTACGGAAGCCATACGTATTTTTTAATTAGGTATATATATATATATATATATATATATATATATATATATATATATATATATATATATATATATATATATAAAAGATCTCATATATGCTCTAATTCGAAGACATGCATGATGTTTGCACAAATTGCGCATAAAGTTTGTAATATCTGTCTATTAGACTACTACAGTATAACTTTTATAGAGCAACAAAAAGGAAACATATAGCTCATAAATAACATTCATATTGGAACATGGATCCAAATTATAATGAGGTAGATTATACTAAAGAAGAGTATGCGTAGAAAGGCAATTTAGTATAACATCCAAAAAAAATTTACACCTTATAGAAAATGAGTCCATGTCTAAAATATTACCATTTATTCGAATTATAAAGGTATTATAAGACACCTATGCCTATATGGTGTATACAAAATTGAATGCCCAGCTGTTTGATTTTTATACGATTTTCCGAGTGCAATCTCCACTGTTCTAAACTTTTGGTAGATTATGGATTATGGATAAAACTGAATTTATGACAATTACTCAAGAGCACAAATGAAAAAAAAAGAATGAATGTTAAAAAGTTAAATATTCAAAATGCTTTTAAAAAGTTTTTTAAAGAAATGTTAATGAAGAAAGTTTTTGCAAAATTCGTAGTACAAGCTCGAGAAGCGTGACACGATAATCCATAACATTTATGAATAAAACTAAAACAATAATAGGGTGTGTGGAGATTATAGGAACTAGATAGCCACACAGTCTATACCCTACTGAGGTGGGTCAGATCCATACAATATGTAATACGGTAGGTGTTAGAGATAGCTTCTCCTACAACAGGAAAGAGAGACCGGTCTATTGCCACGATTTTAGTATTGTTGCCATGATTTTTTTCGTGGCAACAAATCATTTTCCTACTAATGACCCTCCCTCCCCCCCTCCTCCTTTAGAGATTCGTCCAAGGGGCGAGAGATCGAGTTAAGATCATGTGAACACTCAAAACAAATATACATGTTCAGACCATTCGGAAGCATAATACACTACTCCTGTGTCTAGCACTATGTGGATGCAAGAGGTTTACAGTGTTAGTTCTTTTTAGGGTTTTCTTCTCCTTCAAATAGTCAAAAAGTCATTTCTAATTGGCATGACCCCTCCTTTCATAGAAAGGGGGTGTCTAAAGTGCCGCTAACATCTCGGGAAAACCCATGCTATGTCTTATCATTGCTCCCTCTAACATCTTTGAATTAATGAGAGAATTATGGTGTGTGGCTATTTTTACTATGCCCCGGGCTCCCTAGTCAGAAGGCCCGGGATAGCTGAGTCTTACTTCTCTCGCCACGTGATCATGAAACAGGTGGCCGAAGCCATGTCACGTTAGAGTCGCCGCCGTTATCCTCCCTTGGTGGTGAAGTTATAAATCTTCCAGCCTGACTATGACACGTTGCCTCATCCCTGTAGCCTGTAGCTTTGAGCAACGCGGCATTACCAGTATTTTTAGGCCTCGCCACCTCTTGGTTGCATACGAGCGAGCTGTAATCTTGATCTGTAATTTTGGGCCTGTTCACTTTGATGCCAAAAAAAACCTTACTAAAATTTGATATTACCAAAATTTGGCATAGTTGCCAAAATTAGGATTTCTTATATAGTTTCCAAAATTTAGCAGCAAACTAAATGTAACCATTTTTTTGGCAACTTTACCAAAATTTGGTAAGGTTTTTTTTGGCATCAAAGTGAACAGGCCCTTTCTGGGCACCGCACTGCAATTGGTATAGTGATGTTGCCCTCGGATTGATCGCTAGCCCCACCGCTCTGCCCAAGCTACCGACGGCACCTACAGCTTTTAGGCCCGGAGGGGTAATACTAGGGGAGATTTCCACGAGGAGCCCGGGGCAATAATCCCCGGCGACCCCCTGTCCGAAACCTCACCTGTACATCATTTTTAACTTGAATGCTCTAACCATCTCAACCTCATAGTACTAGTTGTATACGTGTGCCTCGTGTTATTTATATTTAGTTATTTCACATAGATTAAAATTCCGATAAGTATCTCTACAGAGATTGAAATGTCTCAAGAAAATGCTATTATATATCATGCATATTTTAGAAGATAAATTTAACAAAATATATAAAAGTGTCTGTAGATTAAAAGTATTTTAGACAATATTTAAAGTGCCTCTGAAAATATCTCTACACTTTAGAACTCCAGATTTTAGAGGAGTGCCGCTACATGAGATTTATATTGTAGTAGTGCTACTGCTATCATGTGGCAGAATAAACTGTGAGCAAAGCTTCGATATATATGTCCATAGAGATTTTAAAAGGCCAATGTTATAGAAAAACTACTATGAGGAAAGTCCAAAAACAAATCTAAAAATAAATTTTAAAATTCAAAATTACACAGTGGTTTATAAGATGAAACACAAACAATAGGAGATTTGTTCTAGAGTGTGCATCATAGTTGTGTTGCGGTCTGTTGGAGAATTTGATATCCCAAAATGGCATGATTTGTTCATGCTATCTTGGTTTTTTTTCTCAATCTTTATCGTGTGCATCCTAGTAGATGCGTAGAGACCAGTGTGATTTTATTACTTATTTATTTCGTAATATATTACTCCCTCCGTTTCATTTGTAAGACTTTCTGGTATTGCCCACATTTATATAGATGTTAATGAATCTATGTTTCATTATCATTTCTATGGATATGGGCAATGTTAGAAAGTCTTACATTATGAAACGGAGGAAGTATCAAACAATTACAAAATTAATGTCATAAATATAATAAAACAAATATAAGGATACTGCATTTATGACACGAAATACATATGTTTTAAGTTCAGTTATTAGAAAATTATCTAGACTAATAAAAAAGTAGAGTTGTTTAGTGCAATTAACACCACCGATTGCAATTAGTGCTGGATTAACCCTGCAGTTGCAATTAGCACCGGATTAACACCACGTCTCGCTCCGAAAAAGAAACTGCACGCCAAAAAGAACGAAAAAAATAACGCACGTCTCCGCCGCCCACCTCACCAGCCACGCCGCCGCGCCGGCGTGACTTCCCACCTCGCCTCACCCGACCATGCCGGGCCTCGCCTCACCCGACCACCCCGCCTCCTCCTTTCGCCGCCTCGGCAGCGCCCCTCCACTGTCGCCAACCGGGGCACCGCCACGCGCTGCCTCCGCATGGCCAAGCCGGCCGCGCGAGCGCCGCCTCCGCCGTCGTCTTCTGCCGGTCTCCCGGGACCCTGGGACAACATGCTGCTGCTCGGCCGGAGAGCCACCGAAGCCACCGCCTGGTCCTCCTTCCCGGCCGCCGATTCCCGGCTCCGGCTCCTTCGCCCCTCCGGCCTCTGCCATCGCTGCGCCGGCCGCCGTCCCGTGCCCCGCACCCCTCGCCGCGCCTCGCCCTCGTCCGCTCGTGCGCGCGTGAAGAAGAAAGAAGAACGAGAAGAGGAGAAATCGTGAAGAGAAGAAAAGGGACACTGTCAGGTGGGACTCATGTTTCTTTAATTAATCTTGCACAGTAATCATCCTCTTAATCCTGCCTTATTATCTCATTGACATGTGGGTCCGGTTACAAAAATTCTTGATTAAATCTATATCTATACTCTATACTAATAATCTAATAATATAAAAAGTACCACTTCAATACCAATCCCGCAATCTTTTAGATCCACTCTCGCGTGGGTCTCACCTGTCATCCCTAAGAAAGAAACCGCACCGCGCACGAAAAAAAAGAATCGCTGCAAAAGAAAGAAACCGCAGCACACCACGCCATCCCCATGCCGCGCCGCCCACCGGAACGAACCCACGCCGCCGCTCCACCCGCCTCACCTCACCGGCAAATCAATCCACCGCATCCACCGGCCACCGCCGGTGCTGCCGCAATCCCAGAAGATTATGCAGGCACCGCCACATCCATCCCCGATCCCACATCTTCGTGAACCTCCCAGTAACATCCCCCGCACGTTTCAGGGAAGTTTGCCGCTCGTGGCACACTGCCGACGACGACCCCGCCTTGATCCGCTGCCACCTCGAGCGGTCACGCGCAAGGCAGCCGCCAACATCGTCCTTGCTCGCCGTCGTGAGCACGGAAGATATATGGGACGACGAAGCGCTCTCCAACTCCGAGGTTGTCAGCTTCCACCGGCTAAGGCTTACCCTGCGAGCGGCGGCTAGACCAGGAGCGAGAGCGATGGCGGCGCCGCCGCTAGACATCACCGCCGAGATTGATCCGATGCTCCACAAGTCTATCCCTAAGGGCGGCCGTATCACCCGCCATATCATCCCCACCCACTGCGACGGCCTTGTCGCCTTTGCCACCTATGGCAGGGCCATGTTCGTGTGCAACCCGGCCACCCAGGAGCTCGTCGTGCTACCGCCCGGCAGCGGCAGCGGCCCATGCCCACAGTCTACAGAATCAACGGCAGCGGTCGGCTTCAACCTGTGGTGGAACAGGTACATCGTTGTCAGGTGCTTCTACCGCAAGTCCCACAACGATCTGCCGGTCTACGACATCGGACACGAGATCTTCACGCTCGGCGCAGGCGCTGGCGATGGATGGCAGCGCATGCAAGACCCGTCGCGTGCCATCAGTCTTGGCGGGAGGAGACCCGCTGCCTGCACGCGTGGGGGTTCCATCTACAGGTTCATCAACGAGTCTCAGCCATGCGCGCTGCTGTGGTTCAGCCTGCGAGACGAGGCGTTCGACGCGGTCCCATCCTCTCCGGGCTGCACGGCCTGCGACAACGACGACCGTCTCGCGGACCTCGCCGGCGAGCTGTGCTACGTGCATCGCATCCGCACGAGCGTGGCCACCCACGAAGTTTGGATGGCGGCGGCGGTTGATGACGATGACCAAGAGTGGTGGTTGCGATACCGAGTGGACCTGTGGCACAACCCGTGGGGCGTGCGCCGCCGCTGTGGCGGCGGCGGCAACGGCCAACGCTGGTTCCACAGCTTCGGCGCCACGGCGGCCGGCGACGTTGGTGGCCATGTTGTACAAGGAGCTGTGGTGTCACAGGGAGCAGAGCAAACCGGTGGTGAAAGACGTGAACGTGTAGGGGAGCCGGTACAGCTGTGAGTCGGCTCATCATGAAAATAACTTACACACGTTGACATGTTTAGTCAGTGTTTGTTGCTGCTTCAGACATATGCAGAGGGAAAATGTCAGTGTCCGGAAGAAAAATGGCATAGAGAAAGGCATGGGGGTAGGGGGTTTATTTTTACAAATTCAAAATAAATTTGATCAAACAAGAAATCTTTAAGTACATACATAACCTCAAATTGATATGGTAAGCTCGCCAACATGTGAAAAGATAACCAATGAGGATTGATATGGGACTTACTATCAACATCTTCAGGAATGATTTATTCCGATAAGATTACATTACTAACATAGGTTTTTTTTTATGATTTATGTTACCACATACTAACCCTCATGATTGATTTAGACGATGGATGTATATGGTCAATATATGTTGACGTGCCTTGTACGTGCACGCTCATTATGTTTTACAATGGAGGAGTATCCCGTTGTAAAATGTGCATAAATATATGACAACGCGAAATATTTCGTATGTATTTATTATTTCCTTTTTGAAAAAAGAAATGGTGCTGTTGTTGAGATACGGTGCCTTAGTAACGTACTACCTCCATTTCAGGTTATAAGACTTTCAAGCATTGCTCACATTCATATAGATGTTAATGAATCTAGATACACATATATGTCTAAATTCATTAACATATATATGAACGTGGACAATGTTAGAAAGTCTTATAATATGAAACGAAGGAAGTAGTGAATATTCCGTGTTCGAGTGTCGCTCGACGCTGGTTTCGCATCGGGGATTACCATAGTCCATAGTTTCTGATGCTATGCAGGGTTCACAATTCCGATGAAAAAGTGGTCGAATTCCATGGAAAATCGAGGTTTTGACGTGGCTCGAAAGTAGAAGCTGTCTGAAATTTCAATGGGTTTCATTCAAATTCAAATTTGAATTGATAAAAAGGAAATAAAATCAAATAAAATCCTATAAATAGTATGATATTCATAGAACTTACTCCCTCTGTTACTAAATATTTGACGCCGTTGACTTTTTAAATATGTTTGACCGTTCGTCTTATTCAAAAAAATTTAAGTAATTATTAATTCTTTTCCTATCATTTGTTTTATTGTTAAATATACTTATATGTATACATATAGTTTCACATATTTCACAAAAGTTTTTGAATAAGACGAACGGTTAAACATGTGCTAAAAAGTTAATGGTGTCAAATATTTAGAAACAGAGGGAGTATTTGGCTATAAATTTTCCAATTGGTGTATTCCGTGTATTTCTTGAACTTTACAGTAAGAAAGAGAAGTGATTTAAAAAAAGGGAAAACATTTTCCTGAGACGAATTCCATGTATTAGGCCCACTTAGAGCAAGGTCAATAACACAGCCCGCTGTTGGTTCCAAAAAAATAGCCATGCCATATATAGTAAACAGTGTAGCCAATATCTACAATAGAAATACTATAACACAGATATTTTATAGATTTGTGGGACCCACCATCTTCTCCTACCTCACGTTCTCTTTCTCCCTCTATCCCCTCAGTTCCTGACACCGACGAGGGTCTCACGGCGGCGGCGGACACAGGAGATGGTGGCGGCTGCGCCACGGACGTGGTAGACATCGGCGGCGGGCGACGGGGGCAGCGGCGGCCGGGCCACTTGGCGGAGGAGGAAGATGGCAGCGGCGGTACGGTGGCCGGGCCACGCGGCGGAGGCGGAAGACAGCGGCGGCCGTGCGGCGGGTGCCCGGGGCAGCGGCGGCCGGGCCGCGCGGCTGAGGCAGAAGACGGCGGCAGCGGCAACCGGGCCGCGCGGCTGAGGCGGAAGACGGCGGCGGCCGGGCCGCGTGGTGAAGGCGACAGACGACGACAGCTGTGCGGCGCGCGACGCCCGTCGCCCGGGCCGCGCGGCTGATGAAGACGTGTCACACCCAGAAATCCACAAACCAGAATTTCTAAGCTGAATGTGCATTAAACCCCTGTCCAGGACCAGCCAGGGTACACAAACGACAATTGTTGACATATAGATCCACGTCTTACAAAAATATAACAAATTACAAATACAGCGGAAAAGATAAAAGCGAGCTAAGCCTGAAGACTTGACTCTTGCAGCGGGCGATTCCATTCCACAGGCAATCCTTAACGGCAGCGACGAAACCAACCTCTTCGAGACATCTCCAACTGAGAAGAACTTCAACTCTGGAGAGGGGGAAAACAGAGCAAGACTGAGTATTATCTACTGTACTCAGCAAGTCATACCGGAAGAGAAGGTATGATGCAAGATATATCCAAGGGAGGCTAAATGTTCTTTTGCATAAAGCCGGCATTTCAAAGCAGTAGTTGAAAGCAGTAAAATAGTTGCAGTAATTAATCCATATTAACCAATCACTGTCCAACGTTACACCACGTTGCAACAGGCCAAAACCACCACCTGAACTAACCAGTTCCATTAGCTAACTAGGGGTGAAACTAATCACGGTGAATCTGGTTGACCGCCCATAACCGCGGGCACGGCTATTCGAATAGTTTTACTCTGATCAGAGGTGTACAACTGTACCCACAAGACACAGCCCCACGACACGTTCCCGTGCGCCGACATGCTACCACGACATACGGAAAAGAGGCCGTGACAGGACCCTTCGCATAACCCCCTCTAACCGATCGCACCACACCTTAGGGTTCGCCCCCGTCCCCAGCAGGCAACGGGCAGCCCCCCTTTCGTGCCGCGGTGAATCCGGAAGCCGATCAACCGGACACCCCGGCTGACCCAACTCCATCACGCCCACCCTCGCCTGGGTACGTCGGCTAGAGAAAAGCTACACTACAAGCCCAGCCGTTGCCCACACTGGTTGTGGTAAGTACGATAGGTTCTTCCAGGGCATCCCGCGAACCGGTCCTTATTTGCCATGGGCACGACTAGCAAAACCATGCACCCACAGCCCACCATGTAGTGTATTTTAATTAACCAACACCATTATGGTGGCACTAAACCAAAGCTATGCCAATAATCAAAGTCTATGCTTTAATGTGATCCCCCTTTGTGCACTAGTTGAACTAAGCAGGGCTAAGCATCTCCTAAACCAACATCTAGTCATTTTAATACCCAAGTTATCAATGGCGTAAGGGAAACAACATATAGCTGAGTAATATGACCCATCCCACGTGATATTGTAAAACAATGCAATATTTAATAGAAATACGGGACATTTGTAAATTGGGTACAATATGATCAATTGTAATGTGTGACTTGCCTTGCTCTCGCACTGATGGAACCACAGCAACGTCTTCGAGAAACCGCGAATCGACGAAACGGCCGAAATCTACGCGACAAACAAAGCACACAAGCAAAACATGCTATAAGACTACTGAAACAGAGAACAAAACCATTTTTAATGAATTCTACACATTTTTCTTGATTTACTGAGACTTGAATGGACTTAATCGGAGCTCGGATGAATTAGTTATGATTTTTAGAAGATTCTCTGTGTTTTTACTATAAAAGAAAAACCCTTAATCAATTTATTGCGCAATAATTCATCCCAGGGCTGACGTCAACACAAGGGGGGCGGCGCCGACATGCGGGCCCCACTGGTCAGCGGCACTAAGAGAGGGAGAAGGGGGCGGCTGGCAGGCGGGGCCCACCGGGCGACGGCTCATGGGGAGGAGGAAGGCGGCCTGGCTCGGCTCGGCTTCAAGCCGGTCGGCCGGTTATGGCGAGGGCGACGGCGGTAAGCGGGCACCGACGGCGGCGGCCGGCGAGAAGACGGCGGCGGCCGGCGACGCGAGCGACGGCGCATTGCGGCGACACGCACGCGAGGAGCGGCGGCGCGCGCGAGAGGAAGAGAAGGGGTGGGAGTTCTTACAGGGGATTCGGCCGGAGTGGGTGAAGACTACGGCGGCCGGCGGCGGCAAGCGGCGGACGGTGGGCCGCGCGGGATGGACGAGACAGGCCTCGATCTCGCGAGTCCAATGGCGGCAATGGAGCGGCGCGGCGACGGCACTAGCGACGGCTAGCGGCGGTTGGAGGCGGCGGTAGGTGGCGGCGCGTGGGGAGAGCGGTGCGGCGGTGGCGCACGGCAAGCAAGCGGCGGCCGGGATAGCCCTCACGACGGCGAAGCTAACGGTGGTGACGGCTTGGCGCGGCGGCAGCTCTAGCAGCGGCGGTGCGCGGCCGGAGCTCGACGGCCACCGGTGACGTGGGAGGTGGAGAGAGAGAGAGTGGGGGGGATTCGAATTGAATCCCGCCCATTTTGGGCGCTCGGAGCGGGCGGGAAGGTGAGGGCGTGGGCGGCGTCGCGGCGACGTGGGCGCGGGAAGTGCGGGCGGCGGAGTGGGGCACGGATGCGGAGTGGAGGAGGTGGGGCGCCGGCGGTTGGAGCGCCGGCTCCAACGGCTAGAGGAGGAAGACGACCGACAGGTGGGCCCCATCTGTCGGCGCCCGAAGGAGAGAGGGAGGGAGGGAGGACTTCGAGGAGGGGAGGAGAGGCGGACCGGCGCGGAAGGAATGGGCCGACGGCCCAAGAAAAGGAAAAAGGAGGAAAAAGAAAAGAGAAAAGAGAAAAAGGATTTTCCCAGGGATTTAATATTGCACTTTGCTTATTTTAATTGGTTAAAATTATTTCCAAGGCTCTGAAAATTCCACTAAAATTCATGTTAGCATATTTTGACATGTAGAATCCAAGAAAAATTCCACATGCCGATTCCGATTATTATTTGTATTTATTAATTTAGGATTTCTCTCTTGCCCTTAAACAAATAATTTCTTGAAACAATTTATCAATTGGATTTTTGCTAGGGAGAAGAACTTCAGGGCGTGACAAGACGGCGGTGGTCGGGCCGTGCGGTGGAGGCGAAAGACTACTACGGTTGTGTGGCAAGCGACGGGGGCAGCGGCGGCCAGCCCGCGCGGCTGATGCGGAAGACGGCGGCGGTTGGGCCGTGCGGTGGAGGTGGAAGACGACGACGGCTGTGCGGCGGGCGACGGGGGCAGCGGCGGCCGAGGCACGTGGCTGATGCGGAAGACGACG